ATACTAAACTGCATAATAATTCAGATGGTGTTGGTTCAATTGTATGTATAAAAAGAGATCCTGTACAGTCAATACACGCAAGAATTGCATTTGAAACATGGGCGAAGGCAAGATCTTGAATAGCACCACGCATTCCTCGTAGCAAAGCCCTATGTTCTAACTCCTTGTATACAACACGAACTAACCCACCACCGGTACCAACTAAAAAATAGAAAAAAAAGTATATCTAAGTAGAAGTATATAATAATATAAATTGAATCAAATTGTTTATAGATATATAAACATTCAATTAAAAAACAAATTATAATATTAAGCAGGACATTTTAATTATAAATAATGTATAATCCTACTTCACTACATTAACAAAACAATTACAAATAGCAAATCTGCAATTCTATTAAATGTTATACCTTTTATACCATATGCTAAATATTTTCCAGATACATGAACGGCCAACAACTGGCCAGTATAAAGGTGATGATCCCATGTAAAGTCAACTATATTTTTCAACTTTACTTTTGAGCTACCATGAGAATGATCACCAGGGGAAGGAATAATAGTCACATTTGTGCTGCATAATTCCACTGAATGTTGATCGTCTCGTCCATTGAACTCCCTGCAGAAACAAAATACTAAAATAAGTATTTTTATATAAATCAAATAGTTACAATCATTTTTCTCCATAAATATTAAGAACAGAAAATCGAATATAAATGCAATATATTAATGAAAAAATATGCTGTGATTAATTTTTATATGGAAATTGAAATAACTGAAATACAATATTTTAGATGAAACCAACGGTACATACATTTGAAATATTTTAATTTCTTATAAAATATAATTAAAAATGGTTTAGAAATATATGTAAAAGTTTACAATATCAAGCAGAATAAAGAGACAATTAATCAGATGCAAATTAATAATAAACATATAAATCAGAACAAGTTATTTCTATTATAAACTTTTTTGCAGCAAATGTTGGGATTTTCAGAATTTTAGACAGAATCATCGTCTGATTTCTCTATATTTCTAAAGTCGAATAGAAAAACTAAAGCAATAATGTCCGCTTTTGCCATTCAGTGGCACAAAACTGATACCCCTGTATGTACCACGGTTTCGAAAGCGTGCGCTCGATCTCTCGGAGATGCTTACACTGTCTGCTGATAGTGGAGATGCCTTAAATTAGTCTCCCCGGTTTTGCTCATATCGCCAGCCGCGTTCCTGCGAAAATAACGAATTGTTGAATGTCTGAGAAACTTGCAACACGCCCGGCACGTCCAAGCGATTCCTAACCTCAATCGGTGTAATCGGTACGTGTAACGTGACCCATCGTTGCGATTCGCTATTACATTTTACACATACAATTACATACGAGATCGCTTTTACACGCACCTCTCAGGCATAAATGCCGCTCGTTCGGGACGAATATATGTATATACGATCAGTCGACGAGCAGCCGTGTATTCATCACCGGTATGACGTTGAAAACGATATTAGTACGCGCGTACTAAATCAAATTTCGATCAATTTCAACGAAAGTGAAACGTCAGGCATCAGCGAAGCGTGGAGAGCGATCAAGTGTTGCTTGCGAGATTTGAGAATTGAGAATGAATTCGGTTATCCACACGTTCCGATGCATATCTGAACAGTCCACATTACAACATTATTGCGAGAAAAAATCCTGCACGCTGATTGGCTGTCCGATAGTGACTTTCTAGGGACTTGGAAAGCAGCAGCCAATCAGCGCGCTAGACGCGAAGCGTCCTCCCTACTTTTGTTATACGTGAAGCGCCAAACATTTTCGAATATTCATACACGATTAATACACAATTTTATATTCCTTCGTGGCGTTGACAGACTTTATTTACGTAAGTAAGGAAGTAATTAATTTTATTCCGACAAAATTGCCAAAATTTCTGTGTATGTACAGCGCGGAGAAATTACTCGAAGTGCTTGAAAGAATTACGATACGTATTGCTGATTCTCGCGCACGCGAGATTCGAAATAACGAGTCGCAAGATGGCTGAAAGAGCCCAAACGCGAAAGGCGCGCAAAAGTACTTCGTCGTCGTTTGGAGGATTTGGATGCGGTTCTAACGCGATTGCTGTCCCGAAAAGCGGTACGTCTACTAATTATTACTTTAATTAAAGATTTTCAATATGTGTAATGTTCTTCTTGCGCTCTATACGGAGAGTTTACTGTTTGTTTCAGGCGACTAACATATATTATGGTTGGAGACGCTTCGTTATCTGCACCGTGCTCGAATTAATCGAGTAATCCTCGGCATGTAAGTGTTATAATACGAAAGATATTCTCTCTCAATTTATAATTTGTGTATACATCTGAATCTTTATCGATATTTGAGCGTGTTATCTTTGAAATATACGGATGAAAGAGACTCACACATATATATACATATACATAATACATACATACATACATACATACATATATACATACATACATCCCAGATAGCACCATGTCCAAAATGCACCCATAAGACATCTTTAAGATGTTTTCAAGATGTCTTTGGGATATCATATCATAAGATTTCTTAAAGATGCCTTAAAGATTTCTTAATGATGACTTATGTGTGCATTTTAGACATGGTGCTATCTGGGATACATATACATACATACATACATACATATATACATACATACGTACATATATACATATATATACACATATATGTATATATATAACGTAAATATATATATTATATATAAATATATTTATACTATAATTTATATACACTATACTAAATATATATTTTTCACTTAATTAAGAAAACGATGCATTTCTCTAAAAAACTTTAAAAGTATAAAAATGAATAAAGAAAGTCTCAAAAGTTAATAGAGTAACAAGAGGTTTCTTCTGAAAGAGAATTATTTTTATCTTTCCAATATTTTTGTGGAAATGTTAAAAAAATTTTAAATTAACTTTAGCAAGTCTTATATAAATGTACAAATTCTTAAACATATTACTCATAATGTCGAAAAGTTATTGGCATCATGTAGATATTTTATTTTTATTCATTGTAATGTCGATATTCATCATTTAATTGTAAACGATGAACTCACAATTGATTTGAAAGTCTGAAAAATTGAAAAAAGTCATTAATAGGAAAAAATATACGCGATATAAATTTACACTTTATTTCTTATATTATATTACACTATAGACAGGCTTTTTTCATTCACGTAGGTGTCTATCTTTTGGAAAATGGCAGTAGTGCTCAAACGTACATAGACCCAAAAAAGATGGCAGTAAATTCAGCTAAGGTCGAATATTCGTAAGTAGCGCTTAATGACTATAACGCATATATTTCGTATGCCAGACGTAATTGCAGATCACCATCGAAAGCGAGAGGAGAAAAGTGAATCGGACTATAATATGTTATACGTGTAATAATAATTAATATATATATAATAATCCTGCATTTATATATATAATAACACTCAACATTTTATTAAAGACATAAGATTTGAAAAAACTTTTGTAATTTGTTACACATTTTAATTGCACGAAAAATAGATGGCTTAAAAGAAAGAAAATTACAAAGAAAAATTTATTCTTCTAAATTGCTAATATAGATCAAAATTTATATTATATATTTATGAAATTGTTTGCACAGTGCTTTTCTTTTTCGTTTTTAATATATTTTTAATTTTGTCCGGAATGTTTCTTTATTGTTTAAAATTCGTTTAAAACCGCCTTTCCTTCAGAAAAACTTTAGCATAATAAATTTCTATCCTAATTTTACAAACAGACTTTTTTATTTGCAATAATTTGCATATAATTCTGCTAAAGATTATTATCATTATTTACGATTAATTTTTTATTATTATATTACACACATTAGATGTTTATTATTTGGTCTATTATATATCGCTGCAAAATCAGTTCATTCATTTTTATTTTGCTTTAGAATCGCAATAATCTTATAATAAAAATTTCAATTTATAACTTTTACGTCCGATTCACTCTTCGCTATTGCATATGCTTTCTTTACGACAAAATAGCTACATGTTCTTGAGAACATGTTCTACTAAATATTCGCTAGAGTCTTTTTGGAATCTCATTCACACATAATACCGTTTTTTCCTTCCGATTCTTAATTCGGAAACTATTTAGAGTATTATTATTGCAAATTGTGCATTCGAATTTCCAACAAGTTCTCAAGCGAATGTTTTACTTTTTGTACTGCCGCATAAATGAATAAATTTTTTGGGTCTTTTCACATCAGATATAATGTTACACAATGACAAAGCACACTGAGACACTGCGCCAATCCAAATAGAAAAACAATCGTCGTTATTGTGCCGTTAATATTCACATGTCAAAGGGACTGCAGGAATAGACTCCTGTTTGTCCTCGCGACGATTTTTCATTTTCCTCTTCATTTTTCATTCCTTTACAATTCGATCGCTAATAGGTAACAATTCAAAAATTAAGATTTTTTTATTGATTACAATTATTTGTAAGCGTAGTATTTCGATTACTCTAATGACTATAATCAACCGCGTTAATCGTTATGGAAGATTGCGATAAAAAACAATGATAATCGTGAACGACTGGTGCTTGGAAAAATTCTAAATCATCCTTACTTTGCAGAGGTAATGTTGTACTTTGAATCATCATAAATGTAAATTCTATGCTATTCTATGCTATTATAATTCTACTTATACGCAGTATTTTTTTAATTAACTAATTGTCACATTTCTTAACTTTTAAAAACATAGTTGAATTGTTTAAATTTATTTGGCATAGTAGACGCAAGTAAAATATCTAGATAGTCACAAAAGATGCTGCAAAAATGACAGTTTAAGCATCTTACAAAAGATTAAAATCTCGGCCTGCACGAAGATATGAAAATTTAAAATCGTCTTTATTGTTTATATATATCGAGATGGTCCCTGCGGGATTTTAAATCGCATTTACTATATTATTTCTTTGGCTGTGTATATATATATATATATATATATTTATATATATACATACACACATATATGTATACATATAATTACAAAAACAAAATTTTGTTTCACTACATTAGATTCAAGATGTATATACATATATAATATGTACATAATATATATGTATATATTATCTCAGATTTTATTTTATATTAACAAAATGCATTTAACAAGTGCATGGAAATAGAATTCATATAATTTAATAAATAGTACACTCTTAATTTATATTGGCTATATTAGCTACTTACTTTCTTAACATTCGGAAATATCAAGAAATTATAGAATCGCGTAATCGTTATTGATATATAAAGTTTTAATCGAAGTAACTGTAGCAGAGAAGAAGAAAAGTGCTTGGAAGCATCCATAAATATATAAATTAGCATAGAGCTAGTAGTATGTAAAATGCAGGCGCTTGTACGCTTAATAAGAGAACATATATTAATGGAGAGATTTACGAGAAATTTACTTATATTTCTTTGCAAGCACAAAGTGCAAAAATAGTTGAGAAATATATATGAGAAGTATAATAATTACAATCACATTAAAAAACATATAAGAAATAATGTGATATATAAAGACGCGAGTTATATATAATTGCTATCGAGAATTATAATCCGCATGTAGATTAAATAATATTCATAATTCCGTAATTCGTGACTTATGATCTCTCATAAATGTTAACAACCAAACGCACACACATTACAACGTGCTACGCAACCGCACTCGCTCGTTGATATGCTTATGATATATTGCTCTTAAACTTATAAAATATACGAAAAATAAATAAATAAATAAATAGTTGAATAAATAAATAAATAAATAGATCCTGATTTATGTCTAATTGTAAGCGTTTACGATTAAGCCTTACAAAAAACCTAGAATTATAAGAGAGGAAGATATATGTTACTCGTGAGAGATTGACGGACGGATTCGTGCAAAGGAGAACCAGAATTAGGAATATATCACGTATCACGTAAGCGAAAATATGTCGACCAAACCAGTCCACATTTGTTTGCCCATCCTTTCTACGCTAAAAGTGCTAATTGTTCGGCGATAGAGATCTTGAAAGAATTATATTCATATACGCGCTAAGTTGAAGTAGCTTTTATTACAACTCCACTCTCGTTTGCACGACACCGCACAATAATTCGCCGTGTCAATGTGTTGCTCATTTCTTGCATAAATATGTGCGATTTGCACACATGTAAAAAGCGGCAGAATTCGAAAACGCGAAAGCTCTCGCCGAGCAATTGATGACTTGCGTGAAGTAACTTGACCCTTAATTGAAAGGACGACGTTATTTTGCAAACGAGTTTGCTTTCGCTAAATCTGAAAGATATTTTAATCACAATTCTTTTTTTTTTATAAATATAATCTCTATCGATTCGCACAGCTAAAAGGCAATACGTAAATTAAGCGACAGAATTATGATTTATCATATATGGCAAATTGATTCTTGTCCGCTCGGTGTTTTTATTTCACCAATTGAGAATCAAAAAATAATCGAAAATTTCTAGCATTCAAGCCTTAAAGCCTTTGGGTTGGCATATCTATAAGACTAAAACTTTACATAAAATACATAAACTTTCATAAGACAATAAAATTGCATTTAGTTTGAAAATATTGTACACAAAAATACCTAAGACGCGTTGACGCTCGCATTCTTCGCGTTTAGACGAGTATCGAAGCTGCGACTACATGCGATGGAATCGATACATTTCCGCCGTAATAAAGAAGATAAAACGTGCCCGACGTTGACAAGACTGGGTTAGAGACTGGGTTGGAATTGATTTTTTTTTCACTCGATAGAATTTATCCTCCTTCGCTAAAAGCGTAAAGCTATTGTGTTCACCTCCTTAAAAACCGGAAGAAGCCTTTACTCTTATCCGGCGGTGGTGCCATCAGCATTGGTACTTGATTTTTATGTGTGATGCGAATCTATATCAAAGAAATGTTTTCATTTAATTTGCAATTTGTTAAAAATAATAATATTATATATATATATATATATATATATATATATATATTGTATATAGTTTAAAATTATGATATAATAAAACTGAAAACAGAGGAATATTCATTCTAAATAACATGCACACAATAAAGTTTTGTGGAGCGTAAAATATGTCGATACAAATTCAATATAAATTTATGTATTTATCATAAAACAGAATGTAATGAAAATAATTGAAAACATGTTTCCGTTCTTTAGTTATGTCCGATGAAACTTTTGTTATGTGAAGCAAAAAAAATCTTGTTAAAATATACGTTCCGTTTATCATTGCATGCTGTACTTAAATATTTTATTATTTTATTCCAGCTCACCGTGCAAGGACCTTGCATCCAAGGTTCTCCGTCGATCTGCATGGGAAATCGTTTGCTTGTAATGATGGTGACGCTGCTGCATTGGGCTAGTCTTCTGCCGGAATGTCGCAATCCAGTCTTCACCTGACCCATGTGCAAGCAGTTCTCCAAACCGATTACTTCTATGAGATTGTCCCCGATGTCTGCCGGTAATGAGTAAGTACACAAATATATTATATTAAAGAAGGTGCGATCCTTCTGGATATATTCTATTTGCGCTTGTGACATTTTATGCTTGAACGAGATGCAAAAAGATATATTTATTAAATATCGAGTTCGCGCAAAACTGATCATTTTTTTGCGCGACAAATAAATATAACTCACCTTGAATCGCGGCGGTGAGATCTACGGAATTGAAGCTACTGGTACTAAGTTCTTTGTCCGGTCGTTTTTTTCGTTTACCAAGACGATGCCGCGTATGATGTTCACCCCAAAGATTCGAGCCCCCGTGAGTGAAAGGAATGTTTAGCAATGCGACTCCTTGCAAAGATGGCCCATGCGCCAAATCCAGTGGTGTACCGTCGCACTGCAATCGATGAAATGCATGTAACATCACGAATTCCATCGATTCCGTTGAATCGATATTGAGTGATCACAAATTCTATTACGTATTCGAATTGCGGAATATACACGGTTGATTAATTCTCAATTTATATATCTGAATATTCGATATTCGCGAATGTATTAATTTATTAATTGAATGAAAATAGTGTCAATTTATGCTTACGATTATTTCGAGATCTTCGTGAAGATTTTTGCAACTGGCTGCAAATTGTTCCGTAGTTGCGTATTCAAAGTACCATAGTTTATTTTTCATTCTGCTATTAAATTTCTCTGGATTTTTCTCCCTCTCCATATGGAATTTGACGCAAATGGCAGCGTCGACGCCCACCGAGAAATAGTTATTAATGATATTGTACGGTATACTGTCCTGATTCGATTTCTTTTCGTCCTTTTGATCTAAAACTTCTATTTGCCAGCGATCCATCATCACCTGTGTCGCCTTTCCTATTTTCTGTGAACCATTTAGATTTCGTGTAGCAAATTTTTACGATAATATGATACATATTACAATAATATAAAAAAAAAATAAGAATAATAATCTATTACAATTCGATTATTATTAAAATATTCAGTTCGTCATATAGTTTGCTTTACCTTAAGAACTTTGTGCACTGCTTCTCCTTCGTAACCACCGCCCCAGCGTAAACACCTTGCAAGGTCATTTCCCGTGCCGAGAGGTATAACGCCAACGGCAGGTTGTTTTTCAAATTGTACACGATCTAAATTAAACAGTTGCAAAAGCAATGGTTATCATTGAACGCGCGATTATCATTGAAATTAACGTTAAATTAATGTGATTCATATTGAGGCAGCATCGAAATAAACTTATTTTTCGTAATCGGTTAATCGATGTCTATTATAAATATTTCATTTTTAATATATATATATATATATTCGACAAAACTCTGTAATTTATTACTGGATTTAATTCTGCAATTAATATCTCTAGTATATTATATTACTTAATTTATTAAAAAGCACTGCTTTTATTTGCATTTTTAATACGTGTTTTAACTACAAATTTCAATAGCCTTTTTATTTATTCATCCGTATTTTTTTTAAATTTAATTAAATAACTTAAATAAAATAGTATTTAGTAAAACAAATATTTAAAAAAAATGATATTTCTTATAAAATAATAAAAGATATTAAATAACATAATAATTAAATATTATATACTAATAGTAATTAAAATTAGTCACAATAAAAATGCATACCCATCGTTTCTAAAACCCAGCCGACCGTTCCATCACCGCCGCAACAGATCACATTAAAATTTTCGACATCCTTGAACAGTTGCAAACCCTGCATAGGTCCACCAATCGCTAGATTATGGACCTGTCGAGGGTTTAGAATGTATTGAAATTTTCGTAGCATTCTTTCTCCTTGTCGGCCACCCGATTTTGGATTTATGAATACCAAGAGCGGCGTTGTGTCTTCCGGTGGTGTAATTTGAAAGGACATAGCTGGTTGTTGATTCGAACTACCGCAGCTTAGGAAACCACCCTGTTAAATCCATTGCATTTACTCGTAAGTTACAGGGAATGACTGAATTTCGTGATTTTTTAAAGCACTTTTTTCTTAATATTACTTTGTCCAAATAATACATTTTATTAATGAAAAATTTTGTTGTACTTTAAAATTCAAGTATTTTTTACAAAAGAGTTTAACAAATTATATAGGTTCTGCAAATAATTTTAAACATATAAGTAGAGAAAACAAAAGTATTTCATATATACATCTTATTTCCTTTACGAGAGAAGGACATGTAATGATAAAAGACAATTAATATGCGCAGATCATTATATTGCACTTACGGAACTAACCGATGAACTATCCTGACCGTGTTTGCTACCTCGTTTGCTATCCCTCGATAACGATCTTTGCCTATCAAGCACAACGGGACAAATCGCTGTAGGTGGAAGGATATGTACCGCATGCTCGCCAAGCGTACATTCCGCTCGTACTTGCGATGCGCATCTATTATGCAACTGCAACATTCCCATGGAAATATCCATATAGATTATAGGTATTATCGGCTCTCACGCATTATTGCTTTAATTAATAAAAATCTCATACTTAACATTCTAATGGATATTTAAGTTAAATATTTTTATATTTGCATTATTTAATTATTTAATTATATATGAAAGAATTTTCTAAAGAAGATATAAAAAGATAATATGATATATAATTAAATGCACAGTCTTATATTTCCTTTTTAATCAATAAATTTATATATATATATATATATATATATATATATTGTTTTATTAGTAAATCTTGAGTTATATATTTATAGTGTTCTTTTATTTTTTATATTGTCACAAATATACAATATCTTAATGTTGGATAATGAATATAATTAATTAAAATAATACATGATAGATGCCGACGATACTGTATTCTGTGTTAGTATCACTTTGATTATACTCACGGTTAATTGGCACCATCTACAGTGTAAACCGGTGATGCCGTTGTAACTTTTGATCGTCTTTTTGCACTTGGAACATTTTCCATGGCAATTACCTTCAACCCAATGATGAACCATTGTCTGAGATGTCTTTTTGCTCTTGACATAAGTGGCTATACAGGAGGCAGGCGCTCTTTGCACACATCGCTCGTGTACCGTGTATTTACAAACTGAATCCAAAAAAGAGGACTTTAATGACTAATTAATTATAGATACGTTTGTTAGTTTTTTGCATTGCGCGCACAAAACACATACTTGAATTTTATTTTTAGAGATATTGATTACATTTCTCTCATGATTTCATTTCAACAATTTTAGGGACTTCTTATACTCACAAACGCAACAAAGTCCTTTCTTGCCAAGGCCAACCAGCATATTTAAACAAAGATTGCAATATGCCGGTTTGCTGAAATGCTTCAACCTCCAGAGATGATTTCCATCCTCTTTCACATGAGAATCCAGACCCAGAAGAACCAAAAGAGGAATTGTCGTAAGACCACCTCGTTTCCATTCTTCCAATGAGACTGTACCATCTGCGTCATAATCAATCTCTATCATCATATCCTGCAGGATCTGGAATAAAGTTTTATTTCCCACGTATTGATCCCGTATTCCGATTGCGGCAGCTCTGACAAATTTCTTATAACTTTGTTGATATCTTCTCAGAATAAAGAATTCATTGGATTATTTATAGGGAGGTGATCGTCCAGTCTTCAGAAATTTCCGCAAAAGCGGTCTCTTTTTTTACTTACCGGTTTCAATTCTGAAACATCCCAGCCGAGATATTCCGCGACATTCATCATTTGATTGACGATGCAGTCCATCTCCTAAAAACACAATTATAATATTATTAATAACAATGTAATAAATAAGAATCGTTGCATTGACAGTGTGTGTTGTACAATTTTTTTAATATGTATTTTATTTGTTACAGGTAGTACTGCGATACACAGTGCGATTCACGCGTCGTGTCGGGAGTGCCGTGTAATGTTTCGCGCGTCGGGAGTGCCGTGTAAAGTGTCGGGCGATCGTAATTATTCACGTTTTCGCGAGTGTCATGAGTGCTACCAAGAGAGGAGGAGGAGGCCCGGGAAGGCATCGGGCAACAGCGGGGCAACTGTGAGGTATGCAAAATAAAAACTTTTTTCTAAACTGCTTTGTTCATGAGATATTAGATCGTTTCCAGATTTTCAAAATACCCTATGTATACACATACACATATATGTATAAACATAATTTGAATATTTTGTTTTCAGATCAATATGCTGCTACGACTGAGCTACTGCACGTATCGGTGAGTGAGAAATTGATTTTACAACATTTTTTTATTGACATTACGTGTTATATACATCGACATATGTCTCGCGTATATGTAATTTATAGTCTTATTAAACTACCAAACGCCATATCGAGCTTATTAAAAAAATATACATATATAAGCCGCGATATCGATCATCCTTCAAAATGAGAATATTATTCTATTTATTCTGTTAATTTCGATATCATTCATAATATCAATCATTTTTCCTTCTTCAAAAGACATTTCATATATATCAAGAATTACACGTGCGGTTTTAATATATCTTTGATTAAAAGCTCATATCTCTTTTTGGCTCTCTTTGGCTTATTTTCTCTAGCTGAACAGATCCGAATGAAAGCAGCGGCTTCGCCGCGCTTTTATTAACGTCTACTTTTTTCACGACTCCGCTATCGAGGTGCCGTGAATATTTATCAATGCGACGCACAATTTGTACAACCGTGATATGAATGATTTATTCAACGTGGAACTCATTATGCGGCGACGACGACTGGTCGTTTTCCCGAGATCCTTCTCGGCCGCAATTTCATGTCGATGCGTAAATTGCGTTTCTGCTATATATATATAGTATACATATATATGCGCCAATTGCACGCGTATCTAATCCCTCAAGTTTGAATGACGAATGCATTGAATACTTGACGGTATAATCAATTTCATATGTAAAATGTTTATTTGATTCTCTCGAGATTATATTACGGTATTATAAAATCAAAATCCTCTGTGAAACGATGAATTTTTTATAAGTATTCTGCAAATTTTATAATATTATTTAAAAAAATTTATTTATCTTAATAATTATTTTAAATAAAAATAGCATAATAAAATAAATTTTATATTACATAATTTTTAAATTAATTGATAATGTTTATTTATTGGTATTTCGTCAATTAAAAAAAATTGAGGAGCATTGTGTAATATTACATTGCCGAAGTTATATGTACAATTTTTATGTCGATTATATTTTAAATAATTCTTGATAGATTGTAAATGTAATTAAATAATATTAACGGGTCAATTCTATTGTTACACACACATAATAACATTCGTCAATTCATCCATATAGTTTTCTGATCTCTCAATTGACAAGAGGTCAATGATGCGCATCACTAAAACGACGGAAATTATACTCATTCCACATAATTCACGTTGTAACGGATCGCAGAGGGTACATGTCAATTGACGTGCCTATTATGGGTGCGGCCAACAGAGAGTATGGAACAAGTATTTATCTCTTCTATTAATATCACAACTAAAGCTATTCTATACTGCTATTGTTATTTAAGCAGTCAAAGGTCAATCTATTTTCACCGAGGAAAAGTCAGTTTTATCGCGATATCTCTAAATTGGAATCAAAATTATTTTACAAATAAGCGGTAATATTTTTATCATGCGTTATATTTATTCATTGTTTGTATAATTATTTCAATATTGCGCGATGACGTGACATTCGATTTCTACGACAATATTATTATGTGACAATTAACAAATATTTTCACTTTATGCATAAGCGACATTGTTAAACGTTGCATTACACGCGCGTGTCATCGTGATGCATTCGCGTTAACAGATAACGACCACTCTTTACTCACGTTCGTGTCAAGGACACCGTTCCCATCCGTATCATATAGCCGGAACATGACTGAAAAAAAGAAAGCATCACTGAGTTAACGCAAGCCAAAATTGCCGTGCAACAAGTTGCTGCACTACAAGTTCAAGCGGGATAGACTTGTAACAACTGTGGCAGAAAATCGAGAATGACTGCCGACACGCGAGTCTTCTCGTAAATTTTGTGTTTATCATTCCTGCGTATTTTCTTTTATAAATTTTTATTTTTTTTCCCAAAGACCAAATGTTCGATTAATATAAAAAAAGTTGCATTTTTAAAAATATTTTTGTTTAAAAAAATTATATATACGAAAAAAGTTTTTTTTCTAAATTTTTCGAAATCTTTTAATACATTATTATTTTTATACGAGTATATTACAAACTAGATCTTTCTCTATCTTTTCGAAGGTGTATATATCGGAAAAATGTAATATCTTCCGCGATTATTCAAGAAAAGAAAGAATTAAATTTTTATAGGAAGATTAAATGTTGAATGTTCAAGTTTGAAGATAGTCGTGATGATATTATACACTTCGCGAAACTATTTTTTTGCTATTTAATGTGCGCATGCATGTGAAATGAAGAACTTCAATGAAGTTCTTCTAAAAACAAACCGAGTTCTGTTGATTTACCTAGACGTGCTTTCTGATTATTCAAGAAATAATTCCGTAATTATTACAGCTTTTTAGTCTCGATCATAGAAAAACAACGCGCACCTATATCAAAGTATCGTTGATCTTCTGATAATGAATTATTCGGGACGAAAGCTCGCGATGTTTCATAAATTTCAAGATGATCGTTGTCTTTGTGGCAATTACGTACATTCCAGTTTATCCTCCGGTCTGCCGGCTTCCAAGAGAGAGAGGTAACAAACGATGTCTTTGAGACTGACTTTAACGGATTGGACATCTATTGTGCTCTGCTTTCTGACAAGATGCCTCATCTCTGCAAAACAGAAATTGATTTTCAACTCGAGTTGATATCACGCTAGACAGCTTATACCTGTCGGTCAATAAAATACAAGATAATTTAATACTAGCTATAAAATAACACTTTGCAATTCATAAATTCATATCTAAATATTCTAAAGCGCATATATTATATCCCGAGATACACACATATATATATATATATATATATATATATATATATATATATATGCAAGATATCAAACAATTATATTATTAGATATAATAATAGTTATATCAATTACTATTAATTTACAGCGGAATCCTAACTACATATTTCTACAATTTTTTAATAATACATATATTTTAATTTATAAGAATATTATTAAATTATTCACAGAAATGAGTATTGCTTCTCTTCGGTTAAATGCAATTTTAACCGGGATTTTCTTTGACGTTGCATTTCGCGGAAGAGTCGCTATATATTCATGTGTTAAAGCATCAAGACGTCAGGTAAAAGGAAACTGGCCAGACTTACGATACCATTGATCTGTCCCGTATTTCAAGGAAAATTCACGATTCATTTGAACGTTAAATCGGAACGAAAAATCCAGGGCAATTTCGGCAAGACGTTTGAGTCGTATTTTTAGATAAACGGACTTGAATAATTGTACCTAAAAGTCTAAAGAGAACCTGTTGCTTTGAGCAAGGCAGCGCAGCTATCAATATATAAGCGACGAATTGGATTTATTATAATAGATTGTTAGAGTATAGCTGCGACCCGCGAGAGAGACAGAGGTCAACGACGTCTAGTCCGTATTTCTGGATTGTCTATTTATATCTCGTTATGTTTAGTTTTGCATGATTTCAATGCGGTTCTACATCGATTGGATTGCCGTAAAAAAATGTATTCTTATGTGTGGTGCGAATGATTTCGAGATTCGATCTGTGCAGTGATTGAACACTATAATTTCAACGAATCCAGATTTTAAATAAAAAATATGAAATCTTTATGTTTAACTTGCGACAATCGATATAAGATATGTATTTTGCATTTCTTTATTATTTTCTTTATTTGTTCTTTGCATTTCATTATGGATACTAACAATAAGTTATATACTTACGTGTTAATTCGATAATAATTAATTAAGCATTAATTTTGCCTTGAGACAAAATTCATTAATGGTCGATATTATTTGATATTATTATTATTATAAAAATATATCTATATTTTCTCTTAGTTTCGAGAGATCCATAATTCGCGTGTATTCAAAAAAATATGTCCTATTATTAAGATATGATATTTCGATTAATTTAGAAGAATGGTCATATAATCTGGATGATTCGACTTCTCTGTTCTTATTTTTAGACAATATCGCATCCTACAGAAGTAATAAATTTTGCGGGACGATGAGCAAGTTAAAAATAAACTTTTGCACGAGACGATGCGTCGCGCGAGCTAACGCAGTCACGCGCTTTAACCATGCAGGACGTATATTTTTTTCACGTTCGAACAATCCAATTTGTTCCAAGTGAGAACCGCAAAAAAGCATCGGTAATGATATCTAAAAAAATATATATATATAAATCATTTAACAATGCGATGTGTTGATCGATTGCAGACATAGCGATTAATCACTGTACAATATTGCTGAAGGTTTTAGAAGAGAGAGAATAAATCTATTAGATTATTCTATTATCATTCTATATATAATTTTTCTATGACAATATTTATATTAATCTGAACTTTGCGCGGTGAAGAATTTTTGTTTTTTATATAGATAGTAAAAATTTTGTTAAAACTAAATTGCAAATAATTTTACAACTATACAATAGTTACTATTTAGTATTATTTTCCGTTAATGAAAATTCATAACTGTCACAAGGAATTTTTAAGCAAATTCAATAAAAATTAGACTAATTATTTGTTGCAGACGGTAATAATGCGTTGATTATTTGGTTGAGTTGATTTCACATAATGAATTGACATAATTATCGCATATATAAATTAAAAAAGAATGCGAGGGAGAGAACACTTATTTTTATTAGAATTAAGCTAAAGCTCTCGATTATAAAACTTGTCATTAATTTTTCGATTAATTAAGTTAAAGCGAATTATGTAAATTTCTTCTTGTCTTTTACGGTCACATTTATCTTGATTATAAATATATTATAAAGATCTTTTTTTTTCTCTCAAAGTTTTTATATTTAAAATATTCATTAAATATATAATTAAAACAATAAAGATCAAAATGAATTTTTTTCAAGATTGCAAACTTTATTGAAATTTTTGTAGAAAATTTATTGTATGTATTAGATTTTCGAAGATCACGAAACGTTCTATCTCACCTTCTTTTAACTTCACGCCTGACACATTTGGTAACTGCACCATTTTCTTTTTTACCACTACTAACAATAGAAGCGACAAATGAGGAAAAGTGTTCTCGATTACGAGTCGGATTAATCTAATCTTTTTGTGACCGCGACGTTTAATCGAAATCGAGTATATAATGACTCGATTATCGAATTGCAATCTCGATGCAATCGAGATGCCTCGATGCAATTAATGATTTAGTTTGAGAAAAGCACTTGTTGCTTCTCTTACGACACGAGAGTCACTGAGAGTGTGGCCTCCGTCAAGAAACTGGTATCATTCCCTCGCGCATTCGTGACGTCACTTATACCGGATGATATACCGATATATATAGCTATTTCGGTGGCACCGGCACGCGTACACGCACTACGCAAACTCGCGCGTACATATGTCACGCGAATAATCCGAAACGCGCGCTGCCTCGGTGCCATCTGCGATCGATATGGTAGCTCATTAGCGGTAGAAGTTCATTAACTATATAGGAATATAAAATGTCAATATTAGCTCCGATCTTTTTAGAAGCCTTTTTTTAGGCTTTCCGTGTATTTAAACTAGGACGTAACTGTCAGAGTTCTTAAAAAGAAATTTATACATACATATATAAATACATATAACATATAATTGACACCTATAAGAGAAAGAGAGAAATAGTATAAAATAGAAGAAAATAGAAGCAGATGTTTCGAATGAATCAAATTTCCATACGCATCACAGTAGGAATAATTTTTCTATTCTATTTTTCTAGTTTCACATTTCTCATATACATGATGCACTTTATGACTCTTCGTTTTATTATGAAGAAAAGCACCCGAGGGCGAGTATTCATCTTTTGATTCGTAAAAAATATTGAGTATGAAGCTGAGCTGAGCTTAGCAACTTTAAAATGGAGCACTGTAACGCTGTCAGAACTTTGATTCATCATAACTTTCTATAAATATTGTATATTTTCAGATCATATATATTTGATATTTCCCTTTCATTTTTCACGAGTCACGTATACCAAAAGACGGGCAGAGAAGGTTTTAACTTGGCATTTCATCACTTCTGACGATATGTATTTGATGTAGAAGCGCACGTGTTTCACGAGAAGACGATAAGATCAGACTCGTTCTTCAAACACACCCGGAAATAGAACCGGATCGGATTTTCTCAATCGCATATACACAGCCTTCCCGTACGTCATGACATTTCGTGAAGATCAACGCATCCCTCGTCTCACGGCGTACGTAGATATTGTCGTCTAAAATCAGAATTTAAAATAGCAATATCCATTTCCTCTACCACCGGAAAGGCGCGAGTTTATGTGCGGCAATCGCGCGCAGAAACGTGAATAAACATTTCCCTTAAATCCATAACATAAGCACGATTATTTCCGTCACTTACCGACGCGTCTTCATTTAGAGTAGATATAAACACAGTGTGTTGATGTCTCGCGTGAGTAATTTGAATTGATTGCGTTTTACATGTCATGCGAGCTGGAAAGTTGCCGATCACCGCGCCGTTCGGATTCATTCGCCAATGAAAATTACCGTATTTTACGTGAAACTCATCCCACCAAATTAATTATCGAAACGATAACACATTTTCTACAACAAAACATACGCATTTTCAAATATTTCTCAAATTTTCAAAATTATTCAACATCGAATAAAACGTATCATAATATTATCTATATATGGATAAAAATCACATAAAAAGAAAATATCCGTAGAAAAATTCACGGAAACGCATAATGAAGCAGAGAGATGGCTGCGTCGATATCATAAAAACGATATAAAGGATGGTATATATCCTCACGGTATTGTGGTCGTATTTTTTCGATTACGTTGACTGTCGCCTCGATATGGTGAAGTACACTTTTGAAAGAGATGTCACGTCTCTCTAAGCCCGTAATTCACCCGGTATTTACGATCTCAGGCTTTGTTTGAGAGTAACGCGTCACTGTAAGATCGATGGCGACCGAAATGGACCCTTTGTCATACTGCTGTAATGCGATCTCTTCAAGCAAAAATGAATTCGTGCACCGAATTTCACGGATATGCAAGTTCACGTACGTGGGAAAAGGAATCTTTCAAGAGAGATGATCTACCATCCTTTAATCTAGTATTCATATAAAGCCATACAACTCGAATAACTTTAATGCAAGATATTCAGGAGGAGCTTTTCGATCGCGAAAAAGCGATTCTTCATCGAGAGAGCTTCTGAATATAAAAGCTTCTCAAAAGTTAAAGTAAGAAGAGAGAGAGAGAGAGAGAGAGAGAAAAAAAACTGGATAGATTATACTTAAGGAAGCGAGCGAAAGCTCGTTAAAAAGAGAATCACGTTCGGATTAGTCTTTAGTGAGAAATAATTTCCGAGTTAATGAATGAAGGATGGATGGAAAACGAAACAATTAACGTACATAATATCAGGGACTGAATGTGTGTGAAGCTTAAAGCAGACGTTTGTAATAATCTCAAGGGCGAAACACATGAGTCCGCATTTGCGAACAAGGTACATCGAACAGTTTTGCTCAATGTACCATTTGCATTTGGATTCAGCAGGGATCTCGGTTGCGCCTACCTTCCAATTTCCCGTTGTTGACGAGGAGGGAATTGTTCGACTTCCTGGACGAATTTCGCGACATTTGGCTGTGACTTGGGCTGCTATCTGTGCTCTTCTTCTCTAACACATCGTAACAGCTGTACGATGTATGGGTGACCGTCAACATTGGATGCACGCTTCCTGAATCGTTCATGTGATTGCGTGAAACACAAGAAAAACAAACAACATGATCGATCGGTTCCGCAAGTTGATCTTGCTTCTATATATTGCGAGGCCTCCCTGTGGTGCTTTGAAAGATTCATTGGCTAAATATTCATTACTCGATTGTCCGCACATCTAATGCGCTCGGGGAAACTATACTTTGTCTTCTGAGAAATATATTTATAGGAGGCTGATTTTCCACACTTTGTTTTAAATAAGAGAATTCAATTGCAAAAATAATTCTCCTTTGTTTCTTTCTAATATACACATATATAAATACTTTTACTTTTTATTATCACATGCATATATATTTTTAATCTCTGAAAATATTCAAGGATGAAAAATATATATGCGTAAAATATGGTTTAAGTATATTTAAAAGAATATCAATTTTTTATAGCATCGTCATTAAAATTCATTAAAAAATCACAAGTTGATTTTTATAATCAAAGCGACTTTACTTTATCGAATGATGCCGCTCTAGCGGGAGTCTTCATTTAAAACTTCTTCGGGTTGGATCGACTATTATTCATTCGCCATTTCGAGGCGAACAATAGCATTCATCTATATGATGTAAAATAAAAAAAAATACTCAAGCTATCAGAGATCTCACTTTTTGCCCGTTACTGACCTATTTTATCCAATCGCAAGAGAAGTTTATCATAAAAATACAGTCAGCAAAGTTTTGTGTGGATGTAAATAGAGAAAAAATATTTATATTAAAATGATATCAATATTGTGACAATTTTATATGACTTGATTTTTTGACAACATATTTTGCTGTTTGTCATAATACTATTATATATTTAATTTTATTGCTTAAGAAAAGATTTTTAGCTAACATTTTACAAGCAGCAAGGCTAATAAATTTATAGCTTACTTTCCTCTTAAAAAAATGTATTCGCATTACCGTAGTGTAATATGAGCTGATATAATTTAATTGTCATGAAAGATAATGAACTATGAGTGAAAATAATTGCACAAAATATATATTTTACCGGTTCGCGTCCGGATCTCGCTCTCCGTTCTGTGATGGCCCAGTGCTTGCAATTTTTCCGTAATTCCGTGAATTTTGTCAGCTAACGTGGATCCGCTGTGGCTCTCTGCGGAAGTTCCACCGGGTACGCCGGTGCTATTAACATTACTGCTGGAAGTCGTGTGCGACGTAATTGCAGCACAGGCGGTTGTCGAGGAGAGCACAGCCATCTCCTGGGAAGCAAGAAACGCGGATAATACGCAGCTTTTAATTCTTGGCACACTCGCGTTTACGCTAGTATCTCTTCTTGCTGCTTTTTATACTAAAAGCTCGCACGAGGCGCGACACGCTGTTTTTTTGTCCCAACATTATTGCAGCCGCAATTATCGCCTCCTGCTACTCTCTAGTACTACTTCATTGAAAATTCTTTTTTTTCTTCGCACTCACAATTTGTGCTCGCGGCCACTTATCGTTACTCACAGCAATAAGCGAGACACCCCCGGCTCGTAATGTAGTGGTAACACATCGCCGCAATTTTTATCAATCTAAAAATGCAATATCGTACCTTGAAAGCTTTGCCGTCCACTCCACGCGAGTCTTTCCTGACGAACGAAAGGAAAAGATGTCGACACAATTCATCCGGTGTATCGATCTCCAGATACGAATTCAGGAATTTACGGAAACCCTCGTAATCAATGTCCTGAAACAGTAAATGCAATAAAGAATTTCGTGAAAAAAAAGAAAAATTTAATATGTTAAATTAAGCACAAAAATGTGATTCTGACTCTACTTTGACATTTCATTGTTAATTTCATATAATCATTGATGTAACACACAGATTTATCTGATAAAACTGAAAATATTGCATAATTTATTGCATATATTTTAAATAAATCTCTATAAAAAGAAAACGGTTTTATTCAGATATACGTATGACAAATATAGCTATACCATTAAGAATAATTGTTGAATTAAAAATTAAATGGATCAGCGATCAAATTTCTGTGTGCTTTCTCACCGTTTTATTAGTAGTCGATAGTCACAGTAATAGAAAGTAATTTCGTCCCGACTATTAAATAAAAGAAAAGCCGCCGTTAATTAATCCGGTGTACGGAAGCTATCTCTTTCTTTCTCTCTCGCGTGTTCATTTTGATTTTGCCCGATTCAAGTGAATTTCATTCAACGGGAGATTAAAGTCCAACCAAACGTGTCGCTTCTGTCGACACAATGAATCCGCAAGGTGCGCATTTCGCAAATTGACTAATTACAATTACATCCGGTGACGCGCATTTGGATTCCGTATGTTCTCGATAGATCGATAGTATTTAATGTAATTAATTATACTCCGTTAATTGCTATTCATGGAATTCATTTTGCATACATAAGCCGTGTCTTTTAAATGAAAAGCTTTTCTACGAAAACTATCCGGAAGCTTTCAAACATTTGGCGAACGCGCATTCGCCGAAGCTATAATTCGCAAAACTATACATTTGTTTTAAGAAGAATTTAATTAAGGCTATAAACAATAATAAAATAAAATATTAATATAAAATAGTTTTCTCGTCATCAAATATTTCTTTTGCAAGTGAATATATATCTCCTGTACATACCTGAAAAAAGCAATATTAAGATGTTGAATTTAGATAACATTCTGTTTTATTAAATGGCAACATCTATTGATATATAAACATACTTATTAGACAGAACGCAAATCAATTGTCTTTATATAACTATCGTTATTGTTCTAAGAAAAATTGATTTATATAATAATTCATATTAAATATAACAGATAAAATTACCGCGCGATAATTGAAAATTAAAACTGCAAACTATAAAATTGCAAATTGTCACAATTATGAATTATATTTATTATAAAATTTTTATTAATTATATTTATATTACAAATATTATGTTATGGAGTAATTAGACTCTGTATTTATAAATATTCATTATGATATTTAACTGCATATAATAAATTCATATGTAATAGATAGAATCATAAAATATGCAATATCATAAAATAATTACTAAATAACCGCGATTTAAATAATTCTATAATAACTGTAATAAAAATATCGAGTGATATATCAAATGTCGAAAATATATTTTAAAATTCGAAATATTTTTGCGCGGTTCACTTTACTTAAAATTGTAGTCAATTAAAAGTGAATGATGTTCCATAAAGTAGAAAATTAGATAAGAAAGTGTAGGATTATAGCATCGCACGTGACATTCATTGCATTTAACTTGTACAAGATTTGTGCACAGCTTTGCGCAACTTTTTCGAAACTGTCAAAAAGTTGACTCGTCTCGAATTAAGCTTGCTCGACTGACTCTGAATAGATATTGAGTCTATCAACCAACAAGCATGCATCCGTTTTCCAGCCAACATTCATTTGACATAAATACGTGCTTCACCTTGTAGAATCCGAATGGGATAGGAATTGCGGTGATTCGATACGAGAACAGTAGGAGTCGAGGAGCTTATTTCGCGGTTTATACTACTTAATCAACGATTTTCCGCTCGATTAATACTCACGCAATACCATATAATTCGTACGCATCATTGTCTATTATCAACTCTGAAAGATTCTTACTTTTAACAACAATCAATGATCATTTTTTATTCAACCATTTGAATACGCAAAATATTAGAAATAAAACAAAAATTAAAAATTACGATTATTTTAAAAGTAAGAATATATGTAAGAATTTAGCTACAATCGCAATAAAAGTATATAATTCAGATACGCGAAATTTGACATAAATGAAGACATAAATTATTCAAATATCTGATCATTTAGAATTAGGAACATAAAAGCTACAAGATTTTTTTGATACATTTTTTCTGACTTATTTCTTTCATATAGTATGGTTATAAAAATATAAAAAATATAAAAATTAATAGCAAACAATAAAAAATGATATAACATTAAAAAGTTTAATAATAAGTTAGATTTTCTGACATTTATATAAAAAAAGAAGTTAATTTTATCTAGTGAAATGCTTGCCAACTAACAGCAGTAAAGATATCAGCTTAATTAAAGCATTTTATCTTTTAAAGAGTACGTTTTACAATGTGTAATCGTTAAAATTTTTAATTAGAGTAGAAAGCAAAATGAGCAATTTCACCGAAAATGAGATCTGTGAAACGCTAACCTAGTTTCGAGTTTTATTTGAGTAGGTTTGAGAGAGCTCTACTGTGACATTTATCAATACTCTTGACCAAGGACGCAGGGCGTCGCCTTTTACCTTTTTTTTGCTCTGTGTTAAACCTGCGCTATGAGCAATAAAGTTACAAGCAGTGGATGGTTGCAGAAGGCGCGGTTTATGTTACGTCGTTGAAAATAAATTTATAGCAATCACAAATATATTTGACAGAATAAAAATATCAATTATCAAATTTAGTTCAAAGTTTCCCTTTCTATCATTTTCATTTCTGCTTGAAATAATAACATTCTTGATAATTATATAAAAAATATTTATGTTCTTCAATTAATAAGTTGATGTTAATTGAGAAAACTGTGAACTGTGTTATTAATAAGCTATATTATTATTATAAACATTTTGCCTTACAATAAATTATTCTGCCATTCTAATTTGCAAGATCCTTGTAGCGCTTGTGACATCGTGTGATAAATTAAATGAAAATTCTTCGACCATTGAATTAAATTTTATAAGAGTCAACTTCGAAAAGACCATGGTTTTCTTTCAACGATTAATTTACATGATTTATTTAATAAATAATGAAAACAGAAACTAATTCACATTTAAAAACGAGAAGCACTTGCAAATATATTTATTTATTTTAACAAAAATCTTATGGATTTACGTTTAATTAAACATTTATTAAATTAATCAATTATATTATTATGTTTTATAAAATAATAATTATCTGGAAATTTTCGTGTGCAATCGTATCTTCTTTCATTAAATATGTTCGTTATATCATTTTAAGCTCCGACATGATTTCAAAGATTTTAATTAGTAACTGGGTGGTAATTATTCTCTGCGATTCTTTTCTTCTTCTTATCGTATTCTTCTTTGAGTGATATTTCTTTATTGATAAGAGACCAAAAGACGAAAAATAAGAAGCTAAGAGACGATAGCTTTTTCGTTTGATTTCTATCGAACACGGAATTTTCCTGTGCCGCGTCGGCGGAATATCTGGATTTACTACTGAGTCCCCCTTTAACATGCATGCGTCTGTTAACAGTAATCCTATTTTGTGCTTCAATCTCGCTATAACACACGTGTTCAAATGTATTCAATTATCGAACAGTCTGCAACTTAAAAGATAGTTTCAACCTATTTTTTTTATTAATTGATCGACTTTGTATATTTTATTATTATACATCAAATATATAAAAGCGCGTCCAATAATAATTTTTTAAAATGGTAATTAATTTGAGCGCTGTTATAATTTAGATTTTATGATTGTATGTTACAGAGACAACGTAGCTGAATATCAATTACTCTACTGTTGTACATCGGTGTTAGTAAGTGACATGAACTTTTATTTAATTTTAAAGTAATGGATTTGTAGATCGTAGTTGTAGATTGTAGATTGTAAACAAATTCGTTGCCTAAAATGGATGAACTGGAATAAATCCAGATCAAATTTACTTACAATTAAATTGGACTTTTGATAGATACCTGTATTATACATAATTAAAACATATCGCACATACAGTGTACATTAAAGTATAAATTAAAGAAAGATATAAAAAGAATTTAAATTCAGATTTTATTTATTTATTCTATAAATTAAAGTATAAATTAAAGAGAGATATAAAGAATTTCAATTCAAATTTCATTTATTTATTATGTAAATTAAAGTATGAATTAAAGAAAGATACATATAAAGAATTTCGATTCAGAGTTTACTTTTTTGGTTTATTTAAAGAACGCGCTTGTGTGTTTGATTTTATTAATTGCACAGGGACAACATAAAATTCGGGAGTGCCGTTAAAAGTATCGCGCGAATAAGTGCGGAAGTATCGTTAAAAGTTCAAAGTATCGCGCGTACAAGTGCGGGAGTGCCGTTAAAAGTATCGCGTGTGTTAGTGAACGAACTTCGATGACCCTGACAACCTGAGAGGAGGAGGAGGTCTGAGCAGAGGCATCGGGCATCGGCAGAGTAATTCTAAGGTGAATATCGTTATTTATTTGCACAATTTAAATAAGAGAAACTTAAAGATATTATATATAAATTTTTAAAAGATTATATAAATATTTATATAAATCCTATAAGAAGTTTCTATTTAAAAAGTTATATTTTTTAATTCATAAAATTATTTTATATTTATATATAGTTCATTATACACCAAATATAAAGTTCGACGAATCAAATAATATTTATATAAATCCTATAAGAAGTTTCTATTTAAAAAGTTATATTTTTTTAATTCATAAAATTATTTTATATTTATATATAGTTCATTATACACCAAATATAAAATTCGACAAATCAAATAATATTTTTTTGAAATATTAATTAATTTGAGCGCTGCTATAATTTAGATTTTATATTTGTATGTTACAGACATCAACTACGCCGCTGTTGTGCATTGGTTGGTGAGTGAGACAAATTTTTATTTAATTTTGAGGCAACGAATTTATAGATTGTAGTTGTAGATTATAGATTGTAGATTGTAGATTGTGTGTTGTGTAGAATACAAATAAATTACCTGTAGAACA